TCTTCTAAATCTGTTTAACAGAATATGGACAGAACATACTTTTCCTGACTCTTGGAGGCTATCTATCATCATTCCCATTCCCAAGCCAGGTAAAGATCCCAAGAATCCCTCTAATTATAGACCAATCTCTCTGACGAGTTGTCTCTGTAAACTTTTTGAGAAAATGGTAAACAGACGTCTAATGTATCTCTTAGAGAAAAAGAAATATTTTTCACCACATCAGAGTGGATTTTGTAGGAACAGAAGTACCACAGACGATTTATTAAAACTAGAAACATTTATACGCGAAGCGTTTGTTTGACGACAGCATTTAGTGTCTGTATTCTTTGATATAGAGAAGGCTTACGATCGATGCTGGAGATACGGGGTATCTCCAGCATCGATCGTAAGCCTTCTTCTATTCGCGATTTACATGAATTTGGATTACGAGGTAATATGCCGATTTTTATAAAAAACTTCCTACAGAATCGTAGATTTCAAGTTAGGATGGGCAACACACTATCTAGGCCTTTTATCCAAGAAGAAGGCGTACCTCAAGGTTGTCTTTTGAGTGTGACTCTGTTCCTAATCAAAATGAACAGCATAGCTAACTGTCTCCCTCTCAGTGTGAAACACTCGTTGTATGTGGATGACTTTCAGATCACCTGCCAGTCTAGTAATATGAGTTTCATCGAGAGACAACTGCAAACCTTCCTAAACAGCATATATGATTGGTCCAAGACCAATGGCTTTACATTTAATGCAGTGAAGACATCATGCATCCACTTTTGCCGAAGGCGTGGTCTGCACTTGGATCCGGAAATTTACCTAAATGGGGATAAAATTCCAATGGTGAATGAAGCTAAATTGTTGGGTGTTTGTTTTGACCAAAAACTGACATTTTTGCCACACTTGCGCAACCTGAAGAGTAGATGTTTAAAATCTCTAAACCTATTAAAGGTACTATGCTGCTCATCCTGGGGAGCAGACAAAGTTTCAATGCTCAGGATTTATAGGGCCCTTGTCCGCTCTAAGCTGAACTATGGTTGCATTGTTTATGACTCTGCGCGAGAATCTACTCTTCGGATGCTGAATCCAATCCACCATCAAGCTTTGCGTTTGTGCACCGGTGCATTTCGAACTTCCCCTGTTCAAAGTTTGTATGTGGATGCTTATGAACCTTCACTATCTCTCAGGAGAGAACAGTTGTCTCTTTTTTATTACATTAAACAAAAATCTCAGAAAAAACTTACAGCTGATTGTCCATATACTCTGCTGAAAAGATTATTTGCCGCCCGGACGAGTTGTGTCCCTACATTCCACATTAGAATGGAGAATGTAAGCAGCACGATTGACCTAGACACAAGCAATATCTCACATGTTGAGGTTAATAGTATTCCACCTTGGTCAACTTCACTGATTGATGTTGATTTACGCTTAAAGCAGTTACCTAAAGAAACCACGCCAGACTACGTCTATAGACAGCACTTCGCAGAAATTCAGCATTGTAACAGGAATTTAATTCCTATATACACCGATGGATCTAAAT